ATAACGGTAACAACAGTCGAAATATTTCCACCAAAAACTCCTGTTGCCTGCTGCCTGCTGCCTGTTGGCCGCTGTCATGCTTGGCCTCTCTTCCCCCCCTTCGATCTTGGCCAAATTAATGACACTCACTCCGAGAAATGATATAAAGAAAAAAACGGAGTAAAAATGCAATTTTTGAAATAATTAAATATGAATGCCAGCAGAAGAAAGGCTTGGAACATTCTCACATGTTTTTTGGTGGGGAGGATTGAAGGGGAAATTGTTGTAATAATTCCTCTGTTCTGTTCGTTCGTTTAATTTTTGGGTCAACATTTTATTTGCAATTTGTTGGGGGAACATTCTATAATATAAAAATATGTTAATTTGATGGAGGTGCTTAATTTTGGGGGGAGATGGAATGAAGAGCAAAGGAAAATGTTGTGGGAAATGCAGGAAGATGCGAGGAAAATGGAAATTAATACCATAAATTAGGCACGCAGGCAAGGGAGAACGAGTGAAATATTCTTAAAAGAACCATAAAAAAGAGCAACAGAAACGTAGATGAAACAAAAGATAGGCTTAGTAATTTCAATGGAAATTCCATGATTAGATTAGTGGATGAAAGATCCGTCATTGATATACCAAAGAGGACTCCAATCTCTTCAGAATTCGTAGGGATATTCCTATATAAATGAATGCTGCGAATTTCTAGAATATTTCCTGGAAAAATCTTGCCTATTTCTGGTAAATTTTCGCAGTTCCTTTCCTCTGCTTTCCCCGTCTTAAAGTCCCGCTAAGACTGACTTCGAACTTGCCATTCAGTGAGGAAAACCGCCATCAAAGAACCAGGTCAATAACCAACCGAATGAGAGAAAAGTTCAAGAGAAAAATGTCAAGTTGGCAGACCATTTGGAGCAGCAAATTAATGGGTTCATTTTGGGGGGAAGAATGCTGCAAATAAAAAATAGACAAGACACTTGCCACTTGAACCCGTGCTCTCATTAAGACTGGCACACACACACACAGAAGATACAGATACAGCAGAAGCAGCTGCTGCAAAGATGAAAGCCGCCTTTCAGCTGGAACTGGAGGAGGGAACACAGCACAGCACAGCACACACAAAACAAAAAACTCTCACTAGGCACTTAAAAATTAACGCTTTTGACAGCCAAACGGACTTTCAAATGTACAACAACCACAGAGAGAGTCGGGGGCCTCTCTGGGATTGTAACGACTCCAGAGTGCCTCCAAGTCCAAGTCGAAGCGCAGGCGCAACAAAGTGTCAATGCGGCTTTGGGGCAAGTTTAACAAGATTGGCAGCGACGTAGCAAAGACGCGACGCGACGCGAAGCGATGGAGCTCTCAAGATTTTTCTCATAAGGTGCAAAATCTCTCGACATCATAAAAAGGAAAGACAGAGAAGTGGAGGAACATGCACAGCGAATGAGCATCCATAAAAACAGAAAAAGAAGAAACATTTTTCGGTGTTACATATATTTTCCTCGAAGCCTCCTAATTAGCCGAAAAGCCGGTTCTTCTTTTTGGGATACATCTCTTCTGACTCTTTTCATATTTTATTATTCCTGGCTTTGGCTTTGGCTTTGGACCGACTTTAAGCCAAAGAAAAAACAATGGAGCCGTAAAAATCTGTGGATAATAAATAAATTAACTCCTTAACGATGACAAGAAGCCTGCTCGAGGGCCGGGTGTTCTTCTCTCTTGCTATCCGGCCAAATGTCTCAATTAAGTTGTTCAAAGCTCATTGTTTCTGAATTTTCGGTTTAATTTTTTTATGGTTATGGGTCGCCTTTGTCTTGTGGCGCAGAAATTGTGGCAATTTCAATTCAAAAATGGTTTCATAAATGCCCCAAATCCAGGGTTAGTAACCCTGAAGCCACCACTATTAACCATGTAATCAGAGTCTTAATTAACTAATTAGCTAATTTGCAAACAATTAAGCCTAAAGCCCTGAACCAAAAGAAAAGAAAATCCCAAGAAATCTCCGCGGGTTTGTTCTGCAAAAATAGTCGAGTCATTTGATTGGAGATTGGACAGCAGCTGGAAAGAAATTATTTCGAAGGTTTTTCGTCTTATGAGGTAAGCAGAAAATGGTATTATGCATAAAATAAATATTTTTACATTGGAAGAAAGAAAAAGTGTAAAAGGAAAAGTTGATGGAGAGCAAAAGGGAAATAACTTGAGGAAAATAAATATATTAGCAGAACAATTGAAAGGAATCAGCAGAGGTAGAGTTACTTGATTTGTAAAGGGAAATATTAAAAACAGAGATAAATATTAAATATCCATTTACAGAGATAGGAAAATATTTTGCTTAATAAAATAATGTTATTAATGTGTCTTGGAAGAAATCTTTGTACAAATAAGATACAAAGATAAATTGTAGAGAAATGTGTATACAGAACTTGAGTACTCTTTTTCTTAGGTTTTGATGAGTAGAATGTGTAATTTTCTGTTCGACTTATAGAATCGAGAGTATATAGTCTTAATGCAGAGTAGAACTACAATATATTCTATGCCAAATTAAATATTTGTGGAAGGCCTGAAAGAAGGTACAGTTTCTAGTTGATTTCTTTAGGAAGACCCAACCTTGCTTGTGATAAATTATACAAAAATGTGTACAAAATGCGCATTAAATTTACTGCCTGACACTAAACCCCATTTTAGACTTTCCCCCATCAGAATTCCCATCATTTGATCAATACTTTCAACCCCATCTAAGCGCCAAACCCCGAACCCCTGCCCACTGATCGGTACTACTTACTCTTAAGTGCTTGTTCGAGTGGTGGTGGTACCAGCTCCACCTGCCTTTGATTTGACATAGAAGCCTATGCATCAACTGTTTTTGGATATTGTTGCCAAAAATATACGTTCCCACGTTTTGGCAAAAACCCAAAAAGAAGAGTAGAGATCTAAAACAGTTTTATAACTGTACCAAAAGAGACCAAAAAGAGACCTTCTTCTACACTATGAGAACATTTTGGACTCTACACCTGCCCGACAAAAATACAAAAAAAAAACATACACAACACTTCATAAAGAGGAAAGAAGATCTGTTCTGTTCTGTTCTGTTTGGTTGTTGCAACCCCTCTCCGAGGGAGATCTACCTGCCACACCGCACGAAAAGCATTTCCAAACAATAGAATTTTCTGAAGTGACAATTTTTCCGCGCTGTGAAGGGAAATTGGAACAATGCCAAAAGAGTGGCTGTTGCACCTGAAGCCGATGTCTACTGTTTCTGTCTATTGTCTGCAGAGAAAATAATGCTTTTTAATAATTACCAAAAAAAAACAAAGAAAAAGAGAGACAGCTACGAAAAAGCAGCTGCAAAAAAACTGAAAAAATATTAAGTTTTTGGCGCCCCCAAAAACTGAAAACAAGTTCGGTTTCTGAGTCTTTCGTTTCGTTGGTTGCCTTTTGCCTTTTTTTTTGGTGGCTTAAGGAAGCCAGTTTTTTTGGGGCTCGATTTAACGCTTTGCTAACTGACAAATGAGCAGCATATCCTGTTGATCCTGTTGCCAGGAAATAATTATAATGTTGCACAACAAAAAAGGAGACACCTTTAATTGCGAAAATAATTAAAAACTCATAAATTAACAGACAGCAGAAAGTGCAAATTTAATTATGGCCTTCATTAATTAATTCATTAAAGAAGAAGCTGCTGCTGCTTCGGCTGCTGCTGGTGGGAAGCCCAGAGCCCTGGGCGAGGTGTTTTTTGTGCCACAAACTAAATCAATCAACGCCAAATACAGAGGATCTTCCTCGATGATGGTCCCTAAGGACATGGGGCCGATGGATGGAGTGGCAACCGGTTTGTCGTCACTCCTTTTTGGCATCCTTAGAATACATTATGCAACTGGCAACTGCCACTGGAAGTGGACTCGACTCCCTTTGGCACTCATAATTTATTGATTTTATATGGCGTCACATTTGTCAGGCATTCCGCCAGCCGCTGACAGTTTTTGCCACTGCCACAGACATTTTGACAGTTGCAGTTGCTGTCATCGGGGGCATGTACGTATACCGTATTCCTGCTGCTCCTCCTGTCATCTGTAATTGCATCTGACGCATTGCCAAAAATACATTCGCTTTAAATGTACAATATACGCTGCCCCCATCATAAACGCAACTGTCATTGCGATTTCCCCCAACATCTGAAAGGCAAAAGGTGCTCCTCTGCGTGGGTCTCGGGGAGCCAGTCAAATGTATGATTAAGTAATATCCGAATGCCATAATTTCCTCCATACCCCCTCTTGAGTTTTTCCTGTTTCTTGCATAATGAAGTTGATAAGCGTGGGGCAGCAGACGAGTTTCCAGCTGATAAGGTTGCTAAATTATATACTTACTGACAAAAAAGAGGAGGAATATTAAGCAGGATCTCGACAGAGGGCTTCCTGAATTGAGATCCTTAAGCTACTAGGGCTCTCTCTTCCCCTGAAAACTGGTTGGCTTTTTTCCATATTTTATTTGTATTTCTTGTTGATTTATTACGAGTAATTTTGAATACAAATATTATGGGGGAAAATTACTTGAATGATAATTATGGTTTGTCCTTAAATTGGTTCATAATTAGCGCCATATTTTGTATATTTTAGGAAACAATTTATTGTGTTTTTTTTGAGGTTCTAATAGCGTTTGACATACCAAAATTTTTGGGTAAAAACACAGACCTCTGAGAGGGAATTCGAGGTAGAGGTAGAGAATTCTAATACAAAACTTATCATTATCCATTTGTTTCTCTATCTATCTCCTTAGCGCATACTTCTCACCTTTCCACCTGCCCACCATAGTCCTGCTTTAGTCAAGGATTCAAATAAAAACCTTTCCATCTGCCACACCTCGGACTCACAGGCAACCCTTTGGTTGGTGGCCAAATTTTGATGAATAGATAATAAATAACTTTAATTAAAACCTATACGAATAGGCAGACAGGCTGCCTGGCAAAGGGTTATCCTTGAAGCAGAAGGAAAGGCAGCTGCAGTTCCACCTAAAAGAAATACTAATTATTCGGCAGAGGTCCACGATATATTTAAGCTATAATAATTATAAGGAAATTTCGTGCAAAATCCCGATGCAGCTGCCACCAGGGGGTCCACTTGTTGCAGATGTCTATCTGTGACTGGCCACGGCCTGCTCATTAAGCTTATTAATTTTCGGTGTGGGGAGGGGGGAAGGTTTTCCCGTTGGTTTTGCATTTGTGTCGCCTGCCACATGCAACAAAGTGCAGCGGCCAGGCAGCGTGACCAAAAAAAAGAAGACAGATACAATAAAAATATAAAGAGTTACCCCAAAAGCCAAAGACAACCGCTGCAACCCCTGATGTGTGGCAAGTAGAACTATGAGCGTTCAATTTTCGGGGGCTGTCATGCAACGGTCTCTCGCGGGTCTCTGGTCTCTTCTCCATTCGATTTCCACGCTTTCTACACTCACATCTTCCCCTCGAACAGGTGTAATGATTTTTGGGGCTTGCACCTTGACTCTGCTTCCGTTTCACTTGTCGATAACTCTTTTTCGAAGGGGTTTGTGCTTTGGGCTTACTCTTTGTCGGGGTAACTCTTTGTCCAGACAGGGTGTGTGTGGCTTTAGCACTCTTTTACGTCCTCCTTCTGCCGCTTCATGACTGCATCAATGGTCTCCACATTGGTCTTGGCTGTAGGTATAAAATCTATATAGAACCTGCCTATAACTTTCTGTATCTGTAGCTATTTGCTTACCCAACAACCGCATACGTTGCTGTTCGGCGGACTCGATTTTAACCACGGCGGAGAGCAGAAGGTGCATGATTGGTAATACTAAAAATAATTTAGGAAAGTGTCTCCAGTTGAACGACATTTTTGTAAATCTTTTATGTGTATTATAACAGTGTTACTTTTTTTCCAAACTGTTTACTGTTTTGGATTGAAAGATACGGCTTGTTTTTCGGGTTACTGCGATGGATTCTGCTTTCGACTGGAACACCCTGTTTTTGCTGCTGGCAGGCCCCTCTGTTTAATTGTTAAGTTTCTTGGCTAAAGACTTTATTAGCCAAGGGCTTGATATACCAAAGGCATTTAGCAAAAACACTGAGAGAAATTTTAGCAGAGAAAAGAAGAGGATTTTTAGGGATTAAAATCGAATACCAGATGGTGCCAAAAAGATTTTACAGGAAGAAAACTAAGATTATTGTTGAATCATGAATGATTTTTATACCATAGTTTTACTGGTGTTCGGTTTAAAGAATTATTACCTATTCTTATATCTATATCTTAATTTTATTAATCCAACATTTCACTGAAGTGTTTCCCAGTGTTAAATCCCCTCTTTTGCCAAGGAAGGAAGGAAACAGCTTGTAATATAACCGCAAGATACGACCAAGCAACTTCCTCAATATCAATCATTTCACTTGGCCATATACATATAGTACTCGTATATTTCCTACCCCCAAAAAACTTTCTTCATAAAGCATATTTAGTGTTTAAAGTTTCCGTTTTACGGAGTAGGCTGCATTTTTCAGGTGTTGGCTGCAAACCATTCGACTGAACTGAATTTAAGCTCAACCCTTTCATTAAAGAGGGAACCAAAAATGATATATTTAATCCGTTCGTCCGCTGGTCTGCTGGACTGCTGGTTCGTTGGATCAGTGAAGCGTATGCCTGTCTTCGGAGCAGCAGCAGCAGCAGCAGCAGCAGCAACGACAACGACAACGACAATGACAGCGAATGATAAACCTGATATGGAACACACTTAAGGGCTCAACTTAGGTAATCTGCTGCAGTTTGCTGAAGTAGAAACAGCAGCAGCAACATCGGCAACAGCCACCACGCAACCAAAATTAAAATCCAGAGAAAGAGACAGCCAGAGATATAGGAGGAGACTCCAGAGACTCCGGAGACAGCCAGAGAGATACTATATATAGCAGTAGAGAGCGAGAGGGCAGCAGCAGTTTCTTCGCTTCGAGATCGCCAGATCGTTTCCAGTCGCGCAGGTGGATTTTTCAAGTGGCTGCGTCCGCTTTCCTGACTTTTCTGTCCCATGTCCCTTGTCCCTTGTGTATCTCCATGGACTTCCTTCATATCCCCTTCCATCTCTGAGCGTATCTCCCGGTTGCTGTCAGCTGATTCTTTCAGCGAAACCCAAGACTTCTCCGAGAGGTAATAGATACACACATGTGTTTGTACTTGGTCTTCACTTGAGACAAGTGCATCTCAGAATAAAGGGTTTGGGGGAGGAGAATGCTACTTAGGGAGAGGGCCACTTCAGGGGGATTTTCTTGGCTATTGGAAAATTTATTTCTAAGGTACTACAGAAGAATTATTACAATTTCACATGTATACAAGAACTAGAAAATGTTATAATTTGTATAGCATCTATGACCATTTCCTTTCTTCTAGAACTATTCTATAAAGCCCCATAGAATCCTCCATTTGTAGACAAATATTCGTAAAGTATAAATCAAAATAAATCCTATAATTTAGATACCATTTTCGTACATTATTTGACACTAAATAATCAGATTAATTCCAACATCTTCTTTCAGAAAAACAGTCCCCTAATTACATACGAATACAATTCTCTTTTCAAACGAACCCCAAATGGATTTGCTTATTTATGATTGACACTTTAACGAGTGGCATACCCCACATATGTGGCTCCTTGGCTCAAAAACTTTAACGAGACGTCCATAAAAATGTCACAGAAAAATCCCCAACAGAAATCTAGTAAATGTCAGTATCAATCGGAATGCCCGACTCCTTCGCTATGCATTATCCATGGCTGCTTAAGATTTTCCTTGAAGGACAGAGAGAAAACTCCACTAAGGAGGAAATGCAATTGTATGTGGTGTCAAAAGTCGCACAGCAATCCATCAATTTAACAGCCATGAAAAATCAGCACAATGCCAGAGGGAAAATTCCATAAAATGCAAAGATGTCAGAGGACAACAATGGGACACAGCAGTCCTTACACAGTTGCCGTTTTGGGGTGGAAGTAGAGTCCCTGAAAGAAATCCAAATAGGAAAAAAGAACGATTTCCTTTTTTCTTTTGACTTCTTGGCTTGTTCTTCGGGGGAAAAACGAAGATGCCACAAAAGGAAATGCTGCTGCTGCTGTGTCCTTTTGTGGCATGTTTGGGCAATGTTAACACACACGGCAGCAGCTCGGCAAACTTTAAGCTGTGCAAACAGTGTGGCAGCAGCCGCAGCTGTCCTTCTGTTTCATGGGTCTATGCCCCCAAACGCGTGCCATATGCCCCAGGAACCAACAACCAACAACAAAAGCAGAAAGACCCACAAGGGAGACACTCCAACTGCAACATTGTCCCCATGGCGCGCCGTGTAATTAAAAACCGCACACTCTCGATCCCGATCCCGATCCCGAACCACGCTGCACGCTGATCATTTAGTTATGCCTTGCCCCAAAAATCCTCACTTGCAACCTGCTGGCTGCCCCTGGAACAGATTTTGATTGGCTTCGCGACACACAAAGCAAAGGAAAACCAAAACCAAAACAACGAAACACCAAAAAGCCTTCTCTCGTGGCAGCCGGTGACCATCAGGCTTCACTTTTGTCTCTTTTGACTCCCTTTTTTTTATTTATTCAAGTATTTTTTGTTGTTTAATTTCTCGTGTATGTGTGTGGCATAAACGAGCGACAACATGCCGCAAACATTCCACTCGATAAATTTTAGCAATAAAATTTAAGCTCTTCTTTATAAAAGGTACTCGTACTCCGCTGTCCACCAAAATGTATATAATTTGTGCTTAATGTTGATTAAATATGGTGGAAGGACAGGCCACAGCCCACTTTTTTGTATGGCTTGTGTGTTCACAGAAAAGAAAAAGGGTTTATGGGTTGAAAGTTGGATAAAAGAAGGTTCCCTTTGGGGTGTATTAGAGTGTTTATGTAAGTGTTTCGTATGTAGAATGAAAGGAAGGTTTTGAGAGAGTTTGTGGTCAACACTTTTGCTTTCCCTATCAACATGACAGAAGAAGCACTATATAAAATAGCAAAATCTCGCGTGCAAGCTAAATATTGAATGTTCCGCTCATCTGAAAGTGCTGATTGGTGCTGTGGACATGAAATGTCATCAAACATGAGTCAGATGGTTTATACTTGCTTAATCAACAGTCAACAGAAATATAAATTTTCCTTAAATCTTGATAAATCCCAGACAATAATCCCAGTGAAAATACCAAACCATATTCATGATTATTGAGAACTGGAAAGTGTCAACCTCTTTCTTATTGATCAGCTCTTCCCACTCCTCTATCAACCATTTAAAATACCACTCTGTGGCGTCTTGGAATTTCGCTTTGGCATAGACCCACAGCTCATTAGCTACCCAGACATTCAATCGACTGTTTTACATAAAAAAACTCTGTAAAGAAAAGGCAGACCACGAATACGAATCAAGAAGCCACTGAACGAACGAATTCCATGGAAATGGCAAATGGTAATGGCAATCGTAATTATTTGAACGCTTTTAAATCGCTGGGGCGTTGGCCAAAAGCCCATAAAGGGCCCTTAAAGAAGACATTGGCCAGACAGGGAGGGGCACGACTGGAATGGCATAGTTACGAGTACTCTCTCGCACTCTCCCGGGTAGCAGTTGAAGCAACAGTTCGAGTAGTAGGAGATACTATCTACAGCAGTACAAGATACCATCTAAAGCAGGGAATCTGTTGTGATTGCAACCATTTTACAGAACAGAGCTACGATCCTTTAGCAGCAGCTGCCAGGATCCAGAACAAAAGCCATTACCAAAAGAGAAAAACACACAAAAGTAAAGTAAATCTTTCCTGCATGTTAAAAAAAGAGAAGGAATGGAATGCCAGCCTGTTGCTCTCTGAGGATCAGCATCCTGATCCTCCGTGGAAGTACCTGCTGCCACCGACCACCAACTGGCAGCCGCAGCAGCAGATCCTCTGGTGCTCTGTGATTCGTTTCATTTGTTGCACTCGGTATCGCTGTCCCTACCTAACCGAACAGACCTGACCTGACCCTCTACTCGACCCTCTATGCGAACCGAATCCCACAATCTGTTGCTCTTGTTGCACATGTCTCTGATTCTCCGCCGAGCGTAAAAAAATGAAGGCAAGCCGAATTTGATGCCCCTTGCAAGGTGTTTCCACTGACCCTGTTTGTGTTTTCCTCTCCCCCTAAATGTATTTCTCTGTCTCTCGAAACATTTGTTTTCGCGGAATGTTCTATGGAGGAAATTTCCAGCACATGTTGCTGGCTGAAGGAAGAAGGTCCCACTTGGGCATCTCTCTCTCTGTAAAGTAGTTCAATTGTTTTAAGTACAGTTGGGTTTTGAGTGCACTAAGTGGAAAGGTTCATAGAAATAGCTATAGGGATTCCCTGGGATATTTTCCTGTCCTTTTACACAGATTTCTATTTCCAGAATTTATTGTAGAAATAGAAGTATAGGAAAATGGATATTTCGATTTCCCTGCGATATATCAGTCTCGATTATTACCCCAAACGCCAATAAAAGAAGTTCTTACATTCTGCAAGACTCTTCCAAAGAGCTCTGACCATCAATATATCGATCAATTATCGCTTTGAGTCTTCCTGCTATAAATAAATCTCGATAATTTCAGCTCATTTCACCCGTAGAAGAGACTGCACCGCCCACCACTTGCTAATAAAGTTGTCAATTCCGCACGATTGAGTAGTCAGGCAAACATTTTGTCCAGCCGGGGAAACCCCCTAGATTCCCTCGGATATCCCCAATCCAACGGCACGGCACGTACAATGCCAGAGAGTAAAATGGCCAACAATTACCACCGTCAAGCGGGGCAGCAAAGAGTCATTACAGTGGCCAAAGCCAGTCAGAGTTGTGGCCATAACAA